GAAGGGATGGGAAGGGTAAACAAAGGAGGAGGCTGCAATGCTTGGTAAGAAATGTACGCATTATCCTGCCCATGCAATTGTAACCCCTCTGTACAGTTTGTTCACAAATAAAATAAAATAAAATTTAAAAAAAAAACCATTTGATGCATTTTATTTCACAATCATTAAGGTCAATGGTATCACAGCCAACTGCACAAAGCCAGAACATGCACTCCTTGATGATTCCCAGAAGAGAAAGATGGATTGGGACAAAGAGAACCTGGGCTTCCTGTTCTAGTCGCATCTGTTCCTTCAGCCCTTGAATAATGGGAAGAGCAGGGTAAAGACCTTGCTGCAGTCAGTCTCTTAGCAGCATACCTATGGTTCTGCCAACTTGAGGCTTTCCTCTCTTATCCTCCTTAATGGCCTGGTGCTTGTGTCACCTTGTCCTCTCTTCAATCACACTTTCCTCATGTTCTTGGGCAATAGTAGTTTTCATAGAGAGGGGGCATTGCTCTTATGGTACAGAACAGATTCTAGAAGCCCCAGGCCACATATGGCCTCTTCTCAGCCGTTGTGCTTCTAGGGACCAAGATACTACTGTCAACAAGAAGGCCAGACAGCATAGGACTCCCTGAAAATATGAACATGCACAGCTGTTCTTTTTTTTTTTTTTTGTCAGCTGTGGGGCTTCAACTCTGCGCCTTGGTGCTATCCCTCAGCTCTTCAGCTCAAGGCAAGCACTCTACCTCTTGAGCCACAGCACCACTTCCGGTTTTCTGGTGGTTTATTGGAGATAAAGAGTGTCACAGATTTTCCTGTCCAGGCTGGCTCTGAACCTTGATCCTCAGATCTCAGCCTCCTGAGTAGCTAGGATTACTGGTGTCCAGCTCAGCTGTTCTTTTTTAAGGGCATGAAGCTAGATTAGGCTTCCAGCTCAGTCTGGGGCAGAGCATTTTTGCACAGGTAGACCTCTCCTCTCTATTACTACAGATCATTACAGGAGCCTGGATAGTATTTTTATAGAGTATAATTCTAATATAGATAATTTTTAGTGTTTATGCAAAGCTTTCTTTTGAAAAAGGCTGTAAATACAAAGCTTTTTTAATATCTGGAAACATTAGGTTGTGGTTTAGAATGATAACTAAGAATCTGAAATTGTTGAAATCTAATATGATTCTCTAATGAAAGCTGGTGATGGTTATTTAAAACACACACACACACACACTCTCTCTCTCTCTCTCCCTTTCTCTCTCTAAAAACCAGGGTTGGCTAAGTAGTACCAAACAAGTGAAAATAGGTCTCTTTCACCTTCTGAGAAAACAAAAAAGTATACAGGCCAGTTTTCTTAGTACTTAGATGACAGCATTAACATAAAAGTTTCTAGTCAAGAGTCTCAGGAAACCAGGAGAGGCAGGGAGACTAACTCAAACCTTGACCATGTGGGCCTTCCTTCTCTCTCTTGAAAAACAGCACTTGTTATAAACTCATACTTTATATTGCTGTGGCTCCAGATTAATGGCAGAACCTGCACGGAAGGCAGTAAGCCTCATTGTGTACAAGTGCATCTCTGTCACACTAATTTAGCCCCTTGTCTCTCCCCCGCCTCCCAAACTCAGGGGCAGGGCAGCTTTCATTTTCTTAATACAATACAGACCTTAAGGAAGACTGCTCTAAAGTCTTCAAAGGGTTTTTGAAATGATCATAAGTTGCCTCTTTCCTTTCTTTCTTGTCCTTATCAGGCCACTACCTGTTTGCTTGGCAGACAGCATTTATAAAGCACTTGTCCCTGGATGGCCCAGACTGACTCTTGCCACACTGTCCTCTATTCTGTGAGGACAGAGCAGTTTCTTTGAAATACTGATACTGGCACCAGCAGGCTCCCAGAGCACCCCCCCCCCACTCCTGGTTCTCTGGCGCCATCAAACGGTCACAAGTTGCACAGAGTCACCTGAGTAATTCAAAGCTGCTCTGACATGCATGTCTAGTCTGGTCAAGCCTACTGGCACCAGCCTCAGGGAGTATACACACCAAGGATCTCACAGATGGAGAGCAAGAAGGGTTCTGATACCCATCATCAGGCAAAGTTTAACCCAAGAGAAACAAAGCTACTGCTAGAAGTAGTTGTGGTTTCTCCAAATAAAGGAAGAAATAACTGAGCCCCACCAGGAGGAGGGAAGAAGAACTGGGTGGGACCACTATACATACTAGTGTATAAAATACTCAGCTACCTTTTTAATTTCTATCAATTATCCATAACTCTCAGCAGCAATACCGATGGCATTCTGGACAATGTCTGTGGATAACTGCACTGTATACTGTAAACACTGCTGCACCATTAATATGTCCCTGGGAATTATGGAGGATTCTTCTCTTCATAAGAGATCCCTTTGTGGGGCTGGGAAGATGGCTCAGTGGTAGAGTGCTTGCCTTGCATGCATGAGGCCCTGGGTTTGATTCCTCAGCCCCACATAAGCAAAAAGAAAAAAGCCGGAAGTGGGTGCTGTGGCTCAAGAGCTAGCCTTGAGCTGAAGAGCTGAGGGACAGTGCCCAGGCCCAGAGTTCAGGCCCCAAGACCGACCAAAAAGAAAGAAAGAAAAGATCCCTTTGCCTTAAAATAGCATAGCCTAAGGGTAGGTAAGAGAAATGGACAGAAGTAGAAGTCTATCAATGAATATTTGGGGCAGTTATAGCCTATCACCTAAAGGCTCAGAGCAAAGGAGGGACTTGACTAAGGCCACAAAAATACAAGCAAAGTCAGGCTGAGTGCCTGTGTCACAAACACCAGTCTTGTGCTTCCCCCTTCAACTTGATCCTTAGGACTTTTCAATCTGTTTTCAAATTTATCCAAGTATAACTTATACTGAATAAAAGATAATGCTTTATACTGAATAAAAGATAATGCTTTAATGTATATAGTTACTTTTTTTTGTCAGTGATGGGGCTTGAACTCAGGACTGGGCACTGTCTCATGAGCTTTTTCACTCAAGAATGATGCTCCACCACTTTGAACCACAGTGCCACTTCTCATTTCTGATGGTTAATTGGAGGTAAGAGTCTCACAGACTTTCCTGCCTATGCTGGCTCCTGAGATCTCCAGGATCTCAGCCTCCTGAGCAGCTAGGTTTACATGCATGAGCCATAGGCGCCTGGCTTAAATGTGTTTTGATCAATATATATATACCCATATACTCACCACCATTATCAAACTTAGACTATTCCCACTGCCTCCCAGAAGTGCCCTCTGGTCCTTGGCAATTAGCCTCTCTTCACTTACTATGCCAAGCAAGCACTGTCCCAATTTTATCACTGCAAACAGATTTTATCAGTTCTTAGACATCACTTACATAGGGTAATATTACTGTGACTGGCTTTTTTTTTTGTTCAGCACAAATCATGTGATTTATCCATATAATTGTCTATATCAGAAGCTCATTCTTTTTGATTATTGCATAATATTCCATTGCATGAATTAACTGTTTATACATTCACATATATAAGCATCTGGGATGTTTCCAGTTTGGGATTATTAGTGATAAACTTGCTACAAACATAGACAGAAGCCTTGTGTGATATTGTATTTACATTTCTCTTATATAGTTAGGGGAAATATAATAAGTGTTTTTAAACTGCCAAACCGTTACACTTTTCAGATTTTAAAGTCACTCAATTCTTAAAGGCCATGTTTCTGTATATTGGCTAAGGGATTTCCTAAATTCACAATGAATGAAAAAGGTGGCTGAGTGATCTCCTATTTGGACAGGATCAAAGCCTCTCTTATCTCCTGAGCAAACTAGGTAGGAAACAGTGTCTTCTCTGTCTCTCAATGGTGTAGAGTCTCAGTGAGTAGGTAGACCTAAGCACTGTTCAGAATGATTACATATCTTCAGTGACACATAGTGGGTTACGGCCAGGGGCTGATAGTGGCATGCGGGTTTCAGGTTTGCCTTGTAGAACACAGGCTGCAAAGATGGTGGCATAATTCCCTGCTTTCAAAATCCAGAGAGAACACAAAGTTCTCTGGACATGTCTCCCATGTACACACAGAACTGTGAAACATGGAGTCAAGGGCACTCTCCTATGAAAGAGGTGATGATGTACAGAGGTCCTGAAGTGCATTTCCTTAGTGAAGAGGAAACATTTCAGTGATGTTTCCCCAAATTCTTCATAAAGTAACAGCCCCTCTGCAAGGGGCTTAAGAACCTTAAGAACCTCCTTAAAGTAATTTCTAAACAAACATTCTGCATTTACCAAGAAAGGAAGAAGCAACACAGGAAAAAGAAAAAAAAACTGATAGAACAAACTGGGTGCTGATGGCTCAGAGCTACTCAGAAAGCTGAGATCTGAGGATTGTGGTTCCAAGCCAGCCTGAGAGATTCCATCTGCAAAATAACCAGCAAAAATCAGGCCTAGATGTCTAGGACAAGCAGAAAAGGTCAAAAGCTATGTACATATGACTGTATAAGATGAAATGAACCCCAAGTGAAATGAACCCCAAGATAGGGACACAAGAGGTTTTATCTTTGTTGCTGTTGTTTTTAATGTATTTATAATGTATTACGTGATTTTTTTGTTTCTGTTCTATGCTCTTCCTCCTATGGTATAACCTGTGTCTTCACTGTATTTGATTCTGGTGCTCTGCATCTTGTATATATATTTTTCTAATTTGGGGAGGAGGAGGGAAGTAACAAAATGCTGACATAAAGATACAGGTTGACCCGTTGGAACAATGAGATGTACAAGACACTATGTTGAAAACGAACTTTACAACTTTGCAAGGGAAAGAGGGGGGGAGAGAGGGAGAAGGGGAGGGAGGAATTGGGAAGGTGAGGAGGAAGGGATGGTAGGGGAAAAACAAAGGAGGGTGTAACAATGCTTGATAGGAAATGTACTCATTACCTTACTCATGTAACCGTAACCCCTCTGTATCTTGTATCTTTATAATAAAAATATATATATTAAAAAATCAGACCTGGAGACAGATCAAGTGGTAGAGTGCCAGCAGATCAAGCACACAAGTTTGAGTCCTTGAGTTCTGACAAAAATAAATTTTAAAAAGTAAAAAAACAAAATATCACAGCATGAATGACACTGAAATAAACTGTACTGTGGATGAAAATATCAAAAAATTTAAAGTCATTGACCGCTACTGAATAGCAGGGGTGTTAGAGAGCAAGCCAGGGCGAAAGACCACAGGGAAACCTCTTTCACCAATTACCATGCAGAGATACACAAAAACACCCAAATGCAAAACATGTCTCATACAGGTACTAATGCAAGGTGGTTGGGAAAACAGGAGAGGATGGGAGAGGGTGGTCAAGACACTTACTGTACATGAAAATGGAACAATGATGCTTGTTGAAACTGGTCTGGAAAGGAGAGTAGAGGACAGTGAAGAGGGGCTGAGTTTGACCATGGTACACTGTGTATACATATGGACATGTCAAAATGGAACTCTTTGAACAACTAATTGATGCTCATAAAAACTGTGGAAATGAAAAGCTGACAGATACAGATGAGCTCCCAGTAGTCTAAGAGGACTAAGGAGAGCAACCCTGAACAGGAAGAGGAAGAAGGGCAGCTCTCTAATCAGGCTGTGGCCCTCTGTGGAAGTCTGGACTCGGATCTACTGGACTGCTTGGTATTGGGAATGGGAATAAATCACCTTCTCCATATTACACCATGGGTCATGCAACCTTTCTTGAGAAGCATATACATATACTGCCAAGCTCAAAGCTCACACAACTACTCCTCATAATCTTTTATAGATACAATCTTTTCAACCCTAGTGTTCACTACCCATGAAGGAGAAGCTTTAATGCTTACCTTTAGCTTGTTCTCCTCTGCTGAGATGATCTGTGCACGTAACCAGGCATCCTCCTCGGCCTTGACCGCCAGCAGCTGCCCGACATGTACAGCCTGGACTGGTGCAACCTTGGGATTCTTACTGTAATGCTCCTTCATCTCATCTTCCATTAATTCCTGAGCAGCTGAGTAGTCTTTGCCCACATACCTGGATTAATGACAGGAAGAGAACACAAATGAAATAGCCCAGGAGTAGGGGGAGGGGGAAACCTCAGGAATTCTGTAGGGCTCAACTCTTCTGTGGCCATCTCTGGTTTCAGGGGGTAGGGTTATAGGGATCACACAAGGCAAGGCTGAGGTCCCGATCACTGTACAACAGAGCTGACCAACACTAACACAAGTGAATGAAGAGGCCTCTTGGGGAAGATCAAGCTGAGGAGGTTTGGAAGAAAGTAAGACACACTGAAAATCTACATAAAAGGAAAGAGGCAAGTAAGAGCAGTCCTCAGATCTTGAGTAAGGCTACTAGATCTGTGCAGACCACCAAGAAGAGAATCTAGCAGACAGCATTGTCCTGAGGCTGGGTGAGGTAAACCTCAGCTCTGAAAAGCAGTGATTCAATGGTAGAGTGCTTGTCTAGTTTGATCCTGGGTGTGATCCATATAATTGCAAACAACAATAACAACAAGAACAAAAGCCAAAATGAAAATATAGCAATGTGACATCCCCCCTAAAAAAATTTAATGAACCAATTAGAATAAAATGTTGAATTCTTACTCTAAAAAGTGATATATTCTAGCTGAAGCCTCTAAAAGGTATGCTTTCTGAGTATATTATTTTCAGACACACCCTGTAATGTTCTACAATTTTCTACTGCTGATGATTGCAGTCTTGCTGATCTATCTCTGGTTATCAAAACACATTCATTCAGGCATGGTGGTACATGCCTGTAATCCCACTTACTCCAAAGGCAGGAATCAGTAGGATTAAGTTAGAGGCCAGCCGAGGCAAAAAGTTGGCTAGATTCCCATGTGAACAAATAGGGCAGGCATGGTGGTATAGCTGGGTTCCAGCATCATGGAAGGACATAGGAGGATCTCCTCAGAAGCTGGCCCAGGCAAAAACTCGAGACCCTACTTAAAAAAAATAACTAAAACAAAATAAACAGTGCTGGCGATGTAGTTCCAGTAGGAGAGGATCTGCTTAACAAGCATGAGGCCCTCAGTTCAAACACCACTGAACAATCACAAAAATAACTGAACAAAACAGTTCTTTTATTTTCTTCCATACATGGCTGCTATTTTCCTGTTTTCATTAAGGGTGTGCTTCTAAGACAAAAAAAAAAAAAAATCTTGAAAACCAAGTTTGGGCCATGAAAACAAGAGCTGCCATAACTACCCACGGAAGCCTTTTGTCTGGAGGCTGTGCTATGAACTCACCTGGCCAGGGAGGTGGGGGTAGGCATATAGAACATTGGTATGGACCAGTTGTTACCCAGGGTCCCAATGAGCCCAGGTAGCTGTAAGAAGCTATTCCTTTATGAGTGTTTTTGCATATAGACAAGTAGAGAGCAGGAGAGAAGATGCTGTACTAAACCTGTTTGTTACCAGAAAGAGGCAAAAATCTATTTAAAAGTCCTACACAAGCCAGGCACTGGTGGCTCACACCTATAATCCTAGCTACTCAGGAGGCTGACATCTGAGGATCATGGTTCAAAGCCGTCCCTGGCAGGAAAATATGTGAGACTCCTATCTCCAATTAACTACCCAAAAGCTGGAAGAAGAGCTGTGTGGCTCAAAGTGGTAGAGTACCAGCCTTGAGCAAAAAAGCTCAGGGATAGCACCTATTTCCTAAGTTCAAGCCCCACAGCCAACAAAAAAAAGACCCTATGCAGATGGAGAGAGCCCCTTTGAGGAGCAAAGGCTATTTTTAAAGCAACACAAGCATAATATTCACTCCTGAACCTCCCAAGGCTTTACCATACTCTATCATTTAAACTTAAAAGAGCTTTGTAAATGTTGAGACATGCAGGAATGCAGCTGTCCCACTCTGCAATCTCCTGGGAGGTCTGCATTGAGCCCCATTTCCTGGGACCTGGAGTCTCAGGGGCCTGGATTTCCACTAAAGGTTTCAGTCCTGAGACCAACTGGCAGGACTCAGACTGCAGTGGTGATATGGTTGCTTGGCACAGGCTCCAGTAAGGAGATGGGAGGTGGGGAGAAGTGGGAATTCGAGGCATTTCTTCTCTCTGCAGCAGCCCCTATAGGAAAGGCCAGATGCAGTCCTGTGAGAGCAAGGGATGATGCTACAGCTGGAATGAGGTGGTAGTCACAAGAATGGATTCAGTGTCTGGAAATTACTTGAGCAAGTGGAGAGAGAATGATGACATCAATGTAGGCATGCCATATAGTTTCACAAAGTTAATTATACTTTTTTCCCCCATTTATAATGCTGGGGATGGAACTAAACAGCTTCACTGTTAGTGAAGGCTCCACTCTTAGACCCAATGTTAATTTTTGAGAGTGGAGACCAAGATTTCCATTTGTGATGTGCAGGTTCTGCCTCTGCACTCCTCCAGGCCCCTTATGAAGCCTGTCTGTATGAATATGTGATTATAGAACAGAGATCAGTCTGGTAGGGGTCTGCCAAGTCTGCAGGGGTGGGGCATGTGCCAAGGACCTAGATCAAGTTAAGAACAAACATTGCCTACTGTGCTTGCTGGCTTCCAGCCACCCCACTCCACATGTGAAATGCAGAATACAGGATGCATGCTTATAATGGAAAAAGCTAGGGAAGATGCAAACTTATACTGGGAAAAGTTATCTAAATAATCTGAAGACATGTTTTTCAAGAGAATTTTATCATTTCTATTTTAGAATTATTAGTTATCTTTTCTCATAAGAACAGTTGCGTATCTTGAGCATTTAGTGCAAATACTGCACTCCACTATAACTCTTTCTAACCAAGAATATTTTATCTTTTAATCCCAGCATCTATGATAGTCAAGTAACAATAGCATATCAGTATTGGAAAGAGTTAGAAAGTGCAACCTGCCTGATAACCACTTCGTTTGTGTTGTTCAGTTCAACCACCAGCACAGATGGGGAGGCCTCAGTGGGAATGACTAGAGGAGGAATGGCTATGGTCATATCCTCTGCACCGGTTTCGGCACTCTCAGCAATGTTTTTCTCTATTTGCAAATACTCTTGCTCAATCATAGACTTGATGTCATAATCGCCTTGTGCTTGCCCTTCATCCTTTAGGATCTTGTCAGGAGGCGATGGAAGTTTAGCATAGAGAATGGCCTTCTGGGGATTTCCGGAAATGTAATCTATGGTGCATACATCCGAAAGTGCAGCGAGGTTTTTTAAGGCATCCTCGGGGAATTTTACTTTATATGTGTCCTCAAATGCTTTTGGGAGTGCACTTGCCCAAAGCCCACTTGTGTATTTCACCAGCAGCTCAGCCACTTTCTCTTTGACATCTCCTGGCATCACTGCTGGACTCTCTTTCGCTGGTTGTGTTTGCTTGGAAGCAGGTAGCAGGGGTACCTTGTCAGGGTCCAGTTCACTTTTCAAGGGCTGCTTTCTCTTGGCTGGATAAAGTAGTAAATCTTGGCCTCCACTGCAAGGTTTTTCCACCTGAATATTTTTAAAGCAAGCAAAGACAAGACTATCAGAGGCTATAAGCAACCGGAAAACACATTAGCTCTTCATATTTGAAAGCAACACTTATTTTCAAAGTTCAGAGCAATCACACACTGAAGTATACATTGTATTCTTCTAGTAGTATTTTCAAGCACTGTGTTTACCTGCAAATAACACAATCCACATTTCTGAAATTCTGAAAAGGTGCTCATTTCACTTGTGAGGCATTCAGACTAGGAAACCATAATGCTCTGCTCTGTCTAAAGTGTGCTGTGTGCTCTCTACTCTGTGAAGAATCCAGAGCTATAGCTTACAAAATGCACCAGATCCAAGGTGAAATGAAGCTACAAAAAGTTATCACAACTGTCAGGAAGCAACCACTGAAAAAGCACAGTAGGAATATTTGGACAAAATAATACAATTTCACTTCTTTCAAGAAAGCCCTCAGCTCTCCATTATTTAGGAGAAAAATGGCCTAGGGGTAAGGCACAGTTTTTTACAACAATTAACAGAATGCTAGTTGGATGTATTGTCACTCCAGTGACGAACTGTTAAAAAACACAAGCTGGGTGCTTGTAGCTCACACCTGTAATCCTAGTTCCTCAGGAGGCTGACATCTGACAATCGTTTGAAGCCAGCCTGGGCAGGAAAGTCTGTGAGACTCATATCTCCAACAAACTACTCAGAAAAATCTAGAAATGCTACTGGGGTAGAGCTCGAACCTTGAGCAAAAGAAGCTCAGGAATAGTGCCCAGGTCCTGAGTTCAAGCCCCAGGACAGTCACAAAAGCAAACCAAAAAACCTAAAATACGACACCAAGCAACTGTTCGTCATCCGGTCTCTAATTCTGTACTCACAGAATGCCTGAGGGATGCAGCTTGAGAAGTGGCGTGGTGATGCATTCAAGTTCTAAGCCTTTCTTTCCTCTGCTAGACCAGGTAAAGGCCAGCTGGTGGCCTAGTGCTGCTCATGAGCTAAAACTGTTTTTTGTTGTTGTTGTTGTTGTTGTTTTGTTGGTTGTGAGGCTTGAACTTGGTCTCAGTGTTATCCCTAAGTCTTTTGCTCAAGACTAGCATTCCACTACTTTGAGCCATAGTGCTACTTCTGGTTTGCTGGTAGTTAATTGGAATGTCTCACAGGCTTTCCTGACAAGGCTGGCTTTGAACTGTGATCCTCCCATCTCATCCTCCTGAATAGCTAGGATTACAGGCATAAGCTACCAGTGTCAGGCTGAGTTTTACATTTTTAGATGGCTGAAAAGAGTCAAAAGCAAATTTACTTCATGCAAAGATGACTGAAATTCAACACACAAATATTTTTGGAACAGCATGCTCACTGCTTATGAATTATCTGGGGCTGCTTTTACACTACAATGGTAAGACAGTTGTGACAGACAGTATGTGACTGTCACACAGCTCTAAAAAACATTAGATCCTGTAAAACCTTAAATACATACTATTTGGTCTTTACAAAAACAGTTTCTGAAATCCTGTACTAGGCTGTAAGACTGAAGTTACTATTCACTACCTTCTAAAATGCTCATATATATGTTTATGTGTCTGTATGTATATATATATATATATATATATGTGCAAGTTTAATTAACATTAATTTTTCAGTTTGAACTCAGGGCCTGAGGCTTACTCAGCCTCAGCTTGCTTGTTCAAGTGGTACTCTACCAGTGGAGCCATACCAATAGCACAGCTTTTTGCTGCTATTGTGGAGACTCTTCTGATTGGGCTGGTCTCAAACATCCATCTTTCATATCTCAGTGTCATGAGTAGCGGAGATTACAGGTAAAGCCACCAGTGTCTGGCTATGGGCTGTTCCTATGTTATCAGGCTTACTCAACTATTCCTTAGAATCTTTAAATGCTAATCTACCCTGTGCTTTCAGATACCTGATAAGGTGTAAGTATTTAGACTGGGTAGGCAAAGGAAGTTTAGAAAAGATACTTGTGACAAAAATGGAAAAGCAGAATTCTGAGTGACTCATTTATTCTAATTACTGTAATTTTAGATTTAGACATGGCAATTGTTGGTATCCAAAGCCAGATGAGTCTGCAGAGCCTACTAGAAAATTTTTCCTCAATTTTTATCTACCTCTTCTCCAGCCCTGCTGAGTGGCTGGAGAAGGCAAATTTCAGTGAAGCTTAAGCCATAAATCTTATCACCCAAATGAACACATGGCTATGTCTAACCCATAAAAGGATAGGAAGGTTCTTCAGCTTTATGATCCTTTCCACTCCAGTGGGTTGCCTGAGAATATGGAATATGCCCATGTTTATTTGGTCCTCTCCTCCAGCATCAAAGCTTCCATTTCCATCTAGCCTCATGTGATCAGAACGCATGACCTAACAATATACTTAACTTTAGTAGCAAGCCTCTGAAGATGATCTCTGAGCAAAGCAACATAATGGGATCTTTCAAGTAGGAATTACTGTATTTTATTTTTTTTAAATTTTATCTAGTTATACTTATTTATAGTTATTTTTTATGTCATTACTGGGGCTTGAACTCAGGACCTTGTGCTCTTGCTCAGCTTTTCCACTCAAGGCTGATTCCCTACCACAAGCTACACTTCTACTTCTGGCTTTTTGCTAGTTAATTGAAGATAGGTATCTCAGAATTTGTTTGTCCAGGACAGCTTCAAACCTTAATCCTTAGGTCTCAGCCTCCTGAGTAAGTACAGACAACCATTAACACCCAGCTGGAATTACTTATTGTCTTTTTTTTTTTTTTTT